TGCTGCGGCCGCCACGGCCGCCGACGACCTCGCTCTCCTCTGGCTCTCGCCGCGCGGCTGCGCCGCGGGACGCCGGCGAGCCGAGGCGTGTGACTTCCCACCGGCGGCAGGCCCTCGAACACGAAACAGCTGCCCGCAGAGTCCGGGATCGTTGAGCGCCGCCTCCAGCTGCTCGTCCAGGCTATCTGCGGAGGAGGCGTCGCTCATAGCGGCACTCTGCTCGCGCAGGGTCGCGGGATCGGCAGCCTCTCGCAGGAACTTGGCGACATGACCTCTCAACTGCTGAAGCGGTGTGGAGATGCATACGTCGTTGCCGGCTGCGGCACTCAACGGCAACGCACACGGACTCGCTGCTGCCGTATCGGGCTCCCCTGCCCTCGACCGGGAGTCCCTCGTTGCCACCCCCAAGCGGATGGGCTCGCACTGCAGTCGAGCTGGCGTCGTCGGGCTACCGTGCGGTGGTGAGCTGGTGAGGGACGTCATGTGACCTTCGCTCGAGCCGTCGTCGTCGGCAGTTCCTCGCTTTTCCTCGATGCTGCCGCCAAAGACCAACTGTCGACCCTCGCAAGCGATTGCGAAAGGCCCTTGACCCTGGCCGTACTCGCTCGCCTCACGCTTCACAGCCTCGCAGAGGGCCTCGAAAGACGGGACGCACGCTACCGTGCCGTCGACGTCCCTCGGCGAGCTCGAGCTGCCGGCGCTGCTGCCGGAATCGCGTCGCACCATCGCGGTGGACGGCCCTTGGGGAGGGGGGGGGCGCACAAGTAAAAAATCCGGCATCCCGGATAAACCTCCCGCGCCTGGCATCCGGCATCCCGGATAAACCTCCCGCGCCTGGCATTGACACCTCCTGCTGAATGGCGGCTATTGTAGAAAATCAAAAATCCAAATCGCAAACATAGAAACCCAAACACACATTGGCCTTTATACGTTATTCTTCCGATTCTATATTCTTTTTCGAAGCGATTTTCAGCGATTTTCAGCGGGAATATAAAGAATATTTGAGAATATAGGCCCGATTTGGAGCTGTATTCTTGGCACAATCGAGAATATAGACCCTGTTTGGGACAAGAATACGGAAAGAATACGGAAAAAGAATATAGATAGTACCTCCAGTATCGTAGTCTTTGTTAGTATCGAGGTCTCGCGAGCGCTTTTGGGGGTTCTCGGCGCCGCGACAGCGCTGCGAGCCGCGCGATGCCACGGCGCTCGGCCTGCTGAGAGAAGAGCTTCCCGGACGGCAGTGACAAGTTACCCGACATCAATCGTCGACGGCAACCTCGAGAACTGCGCCTCCAAAGTCGCCCAGATTCGCCTCTCGCGGCGCGCTGAGTTAGTATCGCCGGTGCGCCAGCAGGCTCTGCTCCACAGCAGGGCATGCCCGACTGGCTCCTGCTAGCCGTGCGTCCTGGTGGCATCCATTGCCAGCTCAGGTAGCCTCAGGAGGTCGCCTCGCGCACGACGCGGCGTCGCACAGCACCGCTCAGCGTTACTACCGAGTTAGTATCGTCGACCCACAGAGACTGCTATTCTGTAGGTGGAGCCGACAAACGCCGGCCGGGTCGGCGCCGCCGCCCCCATCGCCGCCGCCGGGGCGGCGGCGGCCTCGGCGGACCATCCGGCGCGCCGCGCGCCCGTCGGGGAGGTGTTCACCACCCCTGGCTCCTCACCCCGCCACGCCTTCGTGCGGACGCCGTGGCACCCACCTCAGGCGCCGCTCGGACTCGGTTGACGGCCACCCAAGTGCTTGGCTCATGCCAAGCCGACCGGCAGGCGATTCCCAGTCACTGCTAGGCTAATCTCGGGCTGTCCTGCGTCAGTGTGGTGCCGTGAGGGGCGCCGCCCCCAAAACTACGATCGTTAGTACCGTGCGGGGGCAGTGCATTTAATTCTGTCAAAAATCCAAATCTGCTCCGTGGCGCTTATTGGGCTGGGATCATACGTCCGGGAGGCCCCCCATGCGTGCCGTAACGATCGACAGCGATCTGGCTACTCTGTTCACGTTCACACCTCGTAAACCCCCCATAACCCCTAGCATAACCCCGATACAGGAGGTACTGGGCGAGAAAAACGTATAAAGGCCAAAACACACACAGCCACGTGGCACGGCCAACGCGCCGGTCGTGCACGGTGACAAGGAGAAACCAGAGCTCACCCGGCAGTACAACGAGGGGTACAAGGTCGACCTCGCGGAACCCCACGCTGGCCCGGGAGGATGCGATGAGGTGAATGAAGTCAAGCTCTGGACGCCCCTCCTCAAGACCTCCTCGGCGGGCGTTGGCAACGCCTCGAGCGGCGGCACGCCCGCCTCCGTTGGCCACTCCTACGCCTTCGGCAACACCGAAGAGAAGGCCCGCCGCCTAAACATGGGCTGCAAGGCGCGCGGGCAGCCCGGCCAACCCTTCGACCACAAGACCGGCCACGGCTACGTCAAGGCGCGCGCATCGCGGTTTCTACCACGACGCGATCTTTGTCAAGCGCAACAACTTCAACCTGCTGCTCCACGAGACGTTCGGCGGCGGCTTCTCGCCCACCGCCGTTCTCAAGCTGCGCCGCCTCGCGCGCAAAGTCGCGCGCGGCAGCGTTGACCGCACACGCCTACTCGCCCAAGTACTCGCTCTCTTTTATGTCCCACCATGCAGAGCGCATCTCTCTCTCTGTTGTGCGAGGCGTGAACCGCGCCATTCGCTCTCACCTGGCAACCCTGTCTGCACGTCTCGCGCGCGCGTGAACAGGGCTCCAGGCCCCAAATGACGTGTGAAATAAATAAATAACACGGACACCTCTACTAGGAGATGGGTAAAAAGGAACAGGTCCCCGCCCTGCGGTCTTTGTGCAGGGTTCTTTGTGGGTGTGGTCGGCGACTAGCCGGGGTCGTCCTCCCGATGGGGGACTAGCACTAGCCGTCTTCCACATGGTCCCTCGGGTCCCTGCTGCTCCTAATCTCGTCGTACATCCTCCTGCTGATCTCAGCAACATCCTGCTCCCTCCCTCGTCTCGCCCTGCGCGTCTGCTCCGCCTCCCCGTCGTCTGCCCTGCGTTGTCTGGTGACGGGTCCTCCGTAGTCGGTCGAGGTCGCCGCCCTCCTCGTGCCTCTTCCCAACGTTTCCTCGGCGGCCGATGCCGTCTGCTCCGACTCCGCCGTCCCCGGGTCTGCCCTGCCCTCGTCTGCGCTAGCTTCTGTTTCGTCATCACCGATGTCCGTCCTCTTCTTTCTCCTCTTCTTGTATGCTTTGTACATCGCGTCGATTCCTTTTCGCGTGAGCACCAGCCTGAAGCCCGCCCAGCAGCTGAACCGCTCCCTAAGTCGAAGGAGCATCATCAGTCTCACCCACTTCGCTCGCTGCCCACCGTCTCCGCTCCCTCCCGCTTGAGCCGCCGTCGCGGCCCTCGTTCGTCATGACGTGTGAGTGTTTAGAGTTGTTTGGTATTGCTAAAAATCTCTCTCTCCTCTAGGATTCCTAGGAGAGCAGGAGGACGACGATAAAAGGAGGTCAGCACAACTTCCCAAGGACGCACGAGCGAGAAGCACAGCAGAGCAGACAGATGACGATTACCACCCAGCGCACGAATAAATAAATAAAACGGACATCCCAAGCTGGGGCTGGGTCGAGGACAGACACGTCCCCACCTTTGACAGAAAGAGATTTTAGAAAACCCAGCTTGTTTCCACCTTTGCAGGATTTTGCAAAAGCGAGGGGGGAGGGCGCATCGCCGCGCGGAGAGCGCCACGCAATTTCTTTTTTGCGTGCCAGCAGAGGCAGTTTCACGGAAATCGATCGCCGCGTTAGGGTGCGCATCCCAGCGCTGGTGCAGATCTGCTGCTAGCTGCTTGCAGTCGCATAGCACTAAGCACCGCCGCGATTGCGCATCGCTCGCGCTCGCCATTTTGCGTAAGTATGCGAGTATCGCGTACATCTCCGCGTCTATCGGCTCCCACATGTTCGGCAGCTTTCCTCCCCACATTCCCGCCCCAAACGCTGTCCGTATCTCCCCTTCTTCACAGGGTCCGATTCCGTTGGGATAGCGGACCCAACATGACAGAACACACGTTCGAAGAAGGGCGAACCAGGACGGACATCCGAGTGGAGGGGAAGGCCAGGACGCTCTCCTCGGAGGGAAGAAACCGGCGCAAGACAGCGGCATGCACCTGGGGTCGAGAGAGGAAGGGGACAACCCGAGTGATAAAGCTAGAGGGGACCCCGGGCCTCGATACGAACGTGACATGGGAGGAGGAGATACCCGAGCAAAATAAGATCACGATGGACGCGGTGAGAAAGATGATGGAGAGACAGGAGAGGGAGCGACAGGAGGGGAGCCTCGGGGCGGATGAGACGTTGTTCCCAGAGGGGGCGCCCCAGAGACACATAAACTGGCAGAAAGAAGACTACGAGCTGTTTGTGGGACACGGATACGGGGCGAGCGCGATCAGAGTAGGGGAGCTACAGGAGGACCCCCTAACGCGCTTCTTGCTCAGATACGACGAGTTTGAGACGGGGGGAGAGCTGACGGACGGCAACGGAAAGCGAATTAAGATGGGAAAAGACAGCGAGCCGCTGCGGTCGGGGAAGGGACGAGCCCTGAACGTGAAAGTAGCGCAGGCATGCCTCGCGCTGCACGTCTCACACCAGTTCACACACTTTGCGGCGACGGACGGAGGAAAGGACCATCAAGACAAAATGGCGGAGGATGGAAAGTACGTGCCGAACCCTAGGGTGGCGTACGGCGTGTTCGAAGGACCGACACGATTCGGAAAGATCGCCTAGCAAAGTTGAGCGCCGAGGACATTTTTTCCTCCACCTCCTTCTTCTTCGCCGTCCCACTCTCGTCGTTCTCTCCCTTGTCACTTCCTACTCTCGCGTCATTCTCTTCTGCCTCGTCCTGCGCCGCCGCCGCCTGCCGTTCCTTTGTTTTTTTGTGTTGTTTGTGTGTTAGGTGGGTTCATAATATTTTTTGTTGATAGGGGAGGCAGTTTCACGGAACTCGATCCGCTTCAGGGTCGCCGCGTTAGGGTGCGCATCCAGGCGGCCACAGCGCTCCTCACAACACCTCTCTGCTGCTGGCATGGACCCGTCGCTCGCGCCCACGCTCGCCCTCGGCGGCGGCGGCGGCGACGACGCGCGCAAGCGCCCAGGCCACCCTGCAGGCCAGGCCGCCTGCCGCGGCGCAAAGGCGCAGAGAACAGACGCCACGATGGTGGTTGACCCGGACGAGCGCGCGCACGAGTCGACCGAAGCCTTTGGCCAGCTGACGCCGGTCCAGAAGGCCGTCATCCGCCGCATGCTGCCGCTGCTCGACACCGAGACAGACTCGGTGGTGATCACCAACCCGCTGGTCGCAAACACGCCAATCGTGCACGTGACGCAGGCCTGGCAGGCCATGTGCGGGTACACGACGCGCCAGGCGTGCGGGCAGAACCCGCGGCTGACGCAGGGCGAGGGCACCTGCAAGGGCACCATCCAGGCGCTCGGCAACGCGCTCAGCCTGCGGCAGCCGTGCCGCGTGCGGTTGCTGAACTACCGCGGGTACAACCGGGAGCCCTTCTGGAACTGCCTGACGGTGCACCCGGTGTTTCACAAGCGCGAGCTGGTGCTATACGCGGCGCGACTCCAGGACTACTCCTACCGCCTCAACCGCCTCGTCTCGGTCAGCCCCGTCCAGTTCTGCAAGTCGGACCCGTCGCTCTCGTGCCGCATCTCCCTCGCAAAGCTCGGGTCGGCGGGCGCTCTGGCGCGGCCGATGCCGCCCTCGATCTGCGTCGGGCGGATAGAGGAGCTCGACTCGGGTGCCGATGACAGCGTCGCGTCCGACGCCGGAGCCGCGCGTTCCGAGGGGGCGTCGTCGGCCTCTTCCGTCAATGGGTCCACGTCCTCATCTGCCGGCGCAGACTCTGATGTGGACGGCGAGGGGGAGGTGATCCCGTGCGTTCCGCTGCCGCTGGTGAAGCGGCTCGCGTTCCCGCGCCTGGCGCTCGAGCCCGAGTACTTGCGCGACCGGCTGCAGGACGAGTGCGCCCAGCTCGATTGGCAGTGCCACACGACGGAGATCCAGGCGCGGCCCCCCACGACTTCCTCCCCCCCAGCCCGCACCGCGCGGTGTCCCCTCTCCCTCCCCCCTCCCCTCCCCTCCCTCCCCCCTCCCTCCCCTCCCCCCTCCCTCCCCCCCGCTCTGCTTCGGATCCGGTCGCCCTTCCACCGCCGCAGGCGAGCGGACACGAGTTGGTGCGCCTGGAGCTCTTCCAGCAGCGACCGGGCACGGCGGACGTGGGCGTGCGCGCGCTCGTGCACGTGCTGCCCGAGCAAGAGGCGGGCGTCTACTCGCTCCACATCACGAGGCTGAGTGGTGCGCCATGCCTTTGCCCCCGCGGAGGCGAGGCGGTCTGAGCGAGGTTGTCTGAGCCCTCCTCCCCCCCTCCCGTCCGTCAAGGCGACACCTTTGCCTACCACGCGCTCTTCCGCCAGCTGCGCCAGCGCCTGCACGACATCGTCGCGCCACAAGCCGCCTACCCCGTCGCGGCGTGCGGGATGAGCTAGCGGATGCCTCGATTGGGAACGAGGCGCCCACGAGCGAGCGGGTGGGGAGAGCCGAGCTGGCCGCTGGCCGCCGGCCAATTTTGTGTACTTCGAGCCTCCTCTGAGAGGAGAACAACTGTCGTCCCGCCCCCACTTCCCTACCCCTCCCCTTCGCGTCGGCTGTGCTGCGTTCTGCAGTCAGAGAGTGGGAGTCACGCCAGCTCTGCTGACATCCGCTCTCATGTTTGCGCGTCTGGCGAGTGGAGAGACGTCCTGAGAGTGGTCTCGATGTCAGAGAATATGTGCGAGAGAGGGCCCCTGCGCCACGCCGATGAGGCGTTGGTGAGGGGCAAAATCTAGAGTAGACGAATATTGCTTTCGAAAACCTCTTTTTCAAATTCCCCTTGGGTTGCCACGCACTCCACACCGCGCCCCTGGGGGCACACGGCACGTGCTGCCCATGGCGCATGCGGCATGGGACACGGCGGTTGCAGTAGCGGTCGGGGCGCGGTGTATCAACTATCATCCCAGCGCTGCAGGCAGGGCTAGTGGTGTGCGCCCCCCAGGGCGCCCACTTCGGCTGCGGCGCAGGGGCGCGGCGCCAGTCCGCAGTCGGAGGTGCCGGGGTCGAGGGCGCAGTCTGATACACCGTCGCAAGAGGTCACAGAATCGAGGCCACCTCCGGCGTGTGGTCGAGAACGGGTACACGCCGGTCCCATGGGCACCCATTCTCCCGCAGCCACCTTAGCGTCTGCAGGTGTCCGCCGGCTGCGGCTGCGGTGCAGGTTAGCTCTGTCCACGAGCAGCCCTGGTCGCGCGCCCACTTGAGCACTGAGAGGTGTCCGCCCCCTGCAGCCATCATGCACACGAGCGCATTCCAAGGGCAACCCTGCTGCCGCGCCCACTCTAGCACCGAGAGGTGCCCGCCCCTAGCTGCTGCGCTACAGGTGCGCTGGTCCCATGGGCAGCCCTGCTGCCGGGCCCATTTGAGCACCCCGAGTCTGCCTTCCGCCGCCGCCGCACTACAAGTGCGCGCGTCCCACGGGCAGCCCTGCTCCCGTGCCCACTGCAGCACCTGCGATGGCGGCGGCAATGGCGATCGGCTGGACAACGGCAGTAAGGAGTTGTTGCGGTGGTGCTGGAGTGGGGAGGGGGCGGGCTAGGGGATGCGGCGACACCTGGAGATGCCCACGCCCAGCACAACAGGCAACGTCAAAGGGCTGCCAGACGTATCCTGTATGACGCGCCCACGCCAGCCGCGCCGCCGACACCCACGCGGCCGTGGGGTGCGTTCGTACGCCGTAGGGGAAGCGGGCGTGCTGAGAGCCGCGCTGGCACATGACCTTGCGGAATCGGGTGCAGACGCAGCCAAACGCGAAGGCGTCATCTTCGTGCACCGCCTTGGCCACTATCTGCAGCAGCTCGAGAGGGATATCCGGGAGCGCGACGGCCTCGACGCGGAGTCTGTCGAAGCGAGTCTTGCACGAGCGGCGCGGTCCCGCCACCATATCCCCAAGGCCGTGTCTGCGGTCCGCCGGCGTCCAGCCGGACGAGCCGGACGGGGGACCCGGCGGGAAGGAGATGGAGGGCGCCTCATCGCTCGGCACCGCGTCGATCGAAACGACACGCAGCCCCTCCTTGATGGCCTTGATTTGGTGCGTGACCAAGCTCAGGTCCATGTGCGCTCGGTCGCGAGACACACGCAGACTGGCGGCGCGGCGGCTCATCTGGCGACGATGGCGCATGCAGAGCCCCAGGCTGAAGGAGAGGCAGATGGCCAGCGCGCCGAGCACGGAGCTGAACGTGATGAGGAGGATCGAGCGGGTGGCCTCGTGGCTCGTGTCGTCGGGCCGGAGCAACGAGCGGCCGTCGCAGGTGAGCTCGTATAGCCGCTCGCGAGTAAGATCGTGGAGCCAATGCACCTGCGAGCGCAGGCCACCGGCGCGTCACATTCGGGGGTGCCGTTCGAGTAGTGGGCCCAGAGGCGTCGGGCAGTGGGACGGCGGTTCGTGAGGGCGAAGGAGGGGGTGAGAGGGAGAGGAATGGGCTAGGAACGACGGTTCGAGAGGGGGGAGGAGGGAGTTGAGGGAGAGGAATGAACGACGCACATCCTCCTGCTCGCTCTCGCTGCTCATGAATGCCATCGACTCGCGGGTGAGCGCACGCAGCAGCGGCGCCTCTCCCATCCTGTCGGTGATGTCGCCCTGAATCCCGTACAGCCACGCTAGGTAGCGCGCGAGCTGCTTGGGCACGCTCTCCGCCTCGAGCGCCGCGCATTCGGCGCCGTGGAACGAGGTGGGCACCTCGCAGGGCCGAAGGGTGGGCGCATGTGAGAGGGGAGGGAAGTCAAGTGGGGGAACAGGCCCAAATTCGGACGGAATTAAGCGAGAACAGGGGGCGGGCGGGGCATACCATCAGAAGCGCATAGACGGTGAGCGGGTAGCACGTGCCGGGGGGGCGCTCCTCGTGGGTGGTCTGCCGCCGCGTGCAGCCGCGCAGGTGCGAGATTGCCGGAGGCGTGGCGCGTGCACGGCAGCTCACCGCTGCGCCCGCGCTGAGAGGGGATGGGTGCAGCATGGAAGTCGAGCATGTTGTCGCGACGCTGGCCCAACCGTGCAACACGGTGGCGCTGTTGGCGACAGGGAGGAGGCCAACGGAGTACTCGTCGTGCAGGACGGCGGAACTCACCCGTGCGGCCGACGGCTGCACGTGCGCGGCTGGGCAAAACAGGTCAATCGGCTCGCTAAGCTGGCCGAGAGCGATCAACTGCTCGCGCAACGCGGCCATGGTGTCCGAGGTGGCGGGCTCAGCCTGAAGCGCGATCGGGATGGCGCCGACGCCGGCGAGCCATGGGTTGAGGGAGATGAGGTAGTCGTCGTCCCAGCGACTGATCTTGCCCGAGCACAGCCAGCCAATCGCCGATGTGTCCAGCACGAGCGGCTCGCAAGTGCGGTTGGCTCTGCATTGGTACGCTACTCCGATGCCAATGGCTGCGAGCGGGAGGGCGGTTTGGTTCACCCGCCCCTCCGCCTCGATCTCCCGGTGAAGCTTGACCCACGGGTCAGCCGTCAACACCACTGCGCCGACGGCGGAGGGCGGCTGCGCCTCCGAGCTGAAGTTGCCGCCGCCGCATGCGTGGAGCTCCCCCAAGTTGCAGCGCGAGGTGAGCTCTTGCTTGACACCCTGGACAGCAGTGTAGCTCGTGTCCGCGTTGGAGCTCTGGTCCTGCTCGTAGATGATGCCGAGTTGCTCAATGGCGCTCGAGAGCCACACCGGCCCGACCACTTCGAGCGAAGGCTTGGGCTCCGGCAGCGCCACCGGGACGCCCTGCCACCGGATTTGAGACTCGACGAGCGGAAGAACCTACAGACAAGTCGCGGACGCTGCCGTTCGTTTCGACGCTTATGTTGTTGGGCTACGTGGGAGGATGGGGCGCACCTCGTCACGACGCTTATGTCCTTGGGCTACGTGGGAGGATGGGGAGAGGGCCCTGTGCTTGTGTGGCGGTGAGCAGAGGGTGGAGGTCTCTCGGAAGAGTCCCGCGCCTGTGACGCAACCATCGGTGGGAGGGACGCAAACCGTTCGTTTCGGCGATCTTTGCGACGACGCCGTGTTCGTCGGCGTAAAACCAGCGCCAAAAGTCGACCGTCGCGCGGCGCGTCTCCAGCGACGAGCCCGCGACCTCGTCCGGCGGCGGGTCAGTCCGCATGACGAGGTGAGTGTAGCCGCAGATTGGCCACGCCATCAGACCTGCAGCGAGACGGTGTGGTAACCCAATACGCCCCTCGTTGTGCTGGTCAGTGCTGACCACGCCTCTTCCGGCGCGGCCCTAGTGGACTGCATCTCGGATCTTGGGAGAGGAGTCTCGAAGTGCGTACCGAGCGCATTGTGCACGTCTGCGGTGAGCGCCTTGCCCTTGCCGACCTCGAGGCCAAGCTCGGCCAGCGCGTATGAGACTGAGGTCGCCGACGCCCGCACTCGGCTCACGCCCTTGAGGAGCGTGGCGAATGGAAGGCCCGCGTTGCGCGCCTCAGCAAGCACTGAGTAGCCGAGCGCAAATGGTGTGTGAGCCACAAAGGAGGCGACACCGCTGTTGAGCCGGCGCCGCGTCACGTTGGTGGGTCCCCATTTAGCGTTGCTGCTCGCACCCACCCGCTCTGCAAATTCTGGCTCGAAGGCGGAGAGGGCCTTCTTGAATATCTCCGTCGTGCCACTGCCGTCCGCACGCACGCAGAGCACGATCCGCGCCGAGGGGAGCGCGAGGTGAGGGTTGATGGAGACAATCTCCGGGTCGTCCCAGTGGGTAACCGCGCCGCGGAAGACCTTGCTCACCAGCGCGGGCGTCAGCAGTAGGTCCTCCCCCTCTCTGAATCCCGGCAGGTTGAAGATCGGCACGACTGCGCCTGCCATTGTCGGGAACATTCGCAGGTCCGGGTATGCGGCGTAGTCGCTTTCGGTGAGGAGGGAGTCGGAGGCGGCCCAGTCGAGCGTGACGCACGGCCGCGCGCCGTCACATCTCCGGCTTCCGTCCACGATCCACCGCTTGCCTGCCGAGGATCCGACAGAGTGGTAGGAAATGTCAACGCCGCCGGTCGTGGGGTGGAGGAAGCTGTAGGCAAAGGTGATGTCTCTGTACATGGCGGCGGGGAAGCTCGCGCCACCGGCGCGCAGTTTCAGCGGCTGCTGCCCCTTCGCTACCGCAAAATTGGCCAGTAGAGCCGCCCGCAGCAGGCGCATCGCGCGTGGGGCGGCAATAGCGGATACGGCCGACGGGCCGACCCTGCAAAGAAAGAAAGAAAGAAAACACACACGGCAAGGGAGGGTGATGGGAGAACGGCACGCCGCCACCACACAGGGATTTTAAGGAGAGGAGTGTGGTGCGCTAGCCGTCGCCCACCCTGGGGAGTCTGCCTCTTCGTATCTCTTTTCGCAGTCTCTCGCCGCTTCTCGCTGCAACCTTCATGCCACCTCGCGGCCGTCCCACTCTGCACAGACAGGACTTTGTGGACACGCAAATTTCTTTTTTCATAGTGATGAGTCCGTTGTAGATCCAAGGCGAGGGTGGTGGCGTCCCCGTCGGGTCTTATGAACCAACAAACCACGACCCGCGGGGGGAGTCAGGGGGGGGGGTTTTGTGCTCCCGAAGTGCGCTTGTCCCCAAGTGCTCTTGTCCCCCTCTCGGCACACGACTCGCTCTCTCCAGAGAGTACACACAGCGCACAGAGGTCAGCTCATCATACACATCTACAGCCGGGAGCGCGGGTTCGCGGCCGCGGCGCTCCGCCAAACTCTAGCCAGCGCGAACGTGCCTGCGCCACGTTGCTCTCTCGCGGAGAACCGCAGCAGCGCCGGCATCGCACACCCTACCCTCAAGCTCGCTCCTATACGTCTCACCCCGCTCTCGCGCCGGGCGTGGCGGCGGCCCCGCCTTTTGTCTGCCTAGCAGCGCAGGCCCAATCAGTGGCAGTTGTTGGTCGCGGCGGCCGCGTCGCCCTTATAGGCGCACGCGAGGCCTGTTCGCAGACACACGCGTGAGACACGATTCACACTCACTGCGTGTGTTCGACGCTCACGGCGCCGGTGACGACCGCAAATTCCTTCAGCTGCAACCATTCTCGAAAGGGTCCGTTTGGCGGTGCCACGTGGCCGCAGCTACAGGCGTGACGGGATGGCGGTGAGCGTGACTCGACGGCGGGTGGACGGCCGACCGGCGGCAGTGTGTGCACATGGGCCGGTTGTAACGCTGCGCTAGCTCGGTGCAGTTCGGAGGAGGCGGAGGGCCCTCGGGGAAGCCGACGGTCTCGAGCCACGCGCCGTCGTAGCCGGGCTTGTCAATCACCGACACAGACCCGGGCACGGTGTCGCCGAAGGAGCCGTACGCGCGCGGCGGCGTCAACGTGCCAAACCTGCTGACAGATGGTGCGATGAGGGCGGGCGTCGAATGCGGTCGTCGCCATCGTGCCAAACCTGGTGTCCGTCGGGTGAAGCTGGCCGTCCGCGTACTTGAACATGAGGTGGTCTGCCAAGTTCCACGTCTCGCGCGTGACGCGCTCAGCATTGGTGTAGTACGCGTGAAGCGGGTCGTCGGACGGCATGGACGAGAAGAGCGGCCGGCGGCCGCCTAATCGCTCATTGCTGGCTATCATCGCCGGTTCGCTCCAGCACGGACGAGAAGAGCGAGCTGCCTGCGTGCGCCGCCTGACACGCCGTGTCCACGCGGGCTTGGAGGGCAAGGTGGTGCTGCATCTGCTCGTTCTGGAAGGCGCGGACGTCCTCAATCATCGCCCACCACTTCAGCTGCACGTAGTTGCCCACGTAGCGGTTCGCCCAAAACATGGTGTCCTTGTCGAGCTGCATGTGCGTGCCGTTCGTCACCTGTTTGAGGCGACGCGGAGGCCAGCATCCCAAGTCGGCAGGCAGCTCGACCGGCAGTCTCGGCTCCCATCTTGGCTCATCTCGGCGCATCTCGGCGCATCTCGGCGCATCTCGGCAAAGTCTGTGCAGGTCTTACCTGCGGCGGCAGCTCTTTCATGCCGGCGGCGAAGGGCGTGTAGACGGTGTAGGTTGCCGAGTAGGGACCGTACCAGAGGACGCCGCCGCACTCGTCGGGCAGATTCTTGCGGCTCTGGCTGATGTACGACTCGGAGGTGCGGTAGAGGCCGATCGTGCGCTCCCAGTTGCCGGCGATGCCGTACTGGTTGGCGCCCGAGGGCATCGCGGTGTTGTTGTTGCCGGCGACGTGGTCCGGGGAGCCCCACGGACCGCCCGGGTAGCCGAGCTCGACTCCGGCCCTGAGGGACGGGGGTGCGCCCCCTTCGTCGGGCATATCTGCGCTGTAGCCGGAGCCGGCCTGCGAGTAGTTCGTGCCGATGTAGTAGAGGCGGTTGACGGCGGCAATGTCGGCGACAGAGATTAGCGCGTCGGGCTTCGCGGTGACCGGGTACGGCTTGGAGTAGCGGTACTCGAGGTACTCGGCGGGCACGTTGAGCGACGGCGAGAAGTAGTTGAAGACGCCCCAAAGCCGGCGGCCAGAGTAGTACCTGTGCTCGCGGAAAGAGGTGTATCAGAGGCGCTCTTCATGGCAAAAAGTACTTGCGGTCGGGCCGCACTTGTTTGCATACTCGCCGTCGGAGAAGGTGGCCGTGAAGTCGAGGGGCTCGCCCGACTCCTCGCTCCACCATCGGTGACGGCGCGCAGTCGTGAAGACGGACTCGGAGAAGAGAAAGTCGCCGGTGTCCGGGTCCGAGTCACGGTCGATGTCGCGGATGATGAAGGCGTTGGTGACAGCGGCGTAGGAGTCGTCTGGGATCCGCTGCGCCGCCCAGATGGCGGACGAGTACTCCTCCCCGTCGGCGGGCTCCGAGGGGAGGATGTGGAAGATCCAGGCCTCGTCCACGTCAGTGATGAGCAGCGACTCTGCGCCGCCCTCGAAGAGGCCGGCGCCATAGAAGCCCGTCTGCTCGGCGAGGCGGCCAATGTCCCTGATGGCGTCGCGCGCACGCGAGTGTCGTTCCATTGCAATCTGCGAGAGCGAGTCGATCGACCAGCAAGCCTTGCCGACGACGATCTTGCCGTCTGCGGTGACGTTCTGGCCACGCGGTGCTGCTCCAAAGATGCCTGAGCAGGTGGACTCGGCGATACCCAGCTGCTTCTCGTTGTGCGCACCGTACGCGTCCTCGTAGTACTGGTACGTGTGCGGGACCTGCGGGATCTCGCAGCCCGGCATCGGCTCGAATGGTGCCATGTATCCGCCAATCTGATTCTGCGGCAAGTATTCGGGGACGGCAGTGGTCGCACGGTCGGTGCCGACATAGCGCGGGTAGTCCTCTGGGTTGAAGAACACTTTGCGCATCGTCCCGGTCGGCCACTCGCTCGCCGGGATGCGGATCATGCGAGGATCACTCATGCCCTCGCCGTCATTCGTGTGCGAACACATGACGCTGCCGTCGACAGTGGCGGCCTTGCCGACAGCGACAGTGGTGCATGCTGCGGCCCGACCGGCGAGGGCGAGAAGGGGGAGCAGCTTGGCAGTCAGCATCGCACTGAAGCGACCAGGGGATCAGGACACGCCGGGGTAAAGGTGCGCGGCACTCACCCCATCCCCAGGGCCTCCAGGGCTCGCACCTCAACCTCTCACAGACCAGCGCATAGCGCCATAGGACGTATTTTCTTGTCAATAACAAGGCTGTGAACCGGTTCATGAACCAGTTCGCCGGTTCACGGTTCGTTCACGGTTCGCGGTTCACGGACTCGACAACAAAGTTAGAGTTGTTTGGTATTGCTAAAAATCTCTCGGACTCGGGGCGGGTGCTAGTCGGTTCACGGTTCACGGTTCGGCCGAGACGCTGCCCGCCTTCGCGGTTCACGGTTCACGGTTCGCCCTTTCGTCCTGCTCGGTTCGAGTTCATTCACGATTCAGATCAGAGTTCACCGGTCGGTTCGAGGGTGAACCACTGAACTAGTTCATGAACCAAGCTTACTTTCACACCTCTTACACACCGACACAGTTCGCGAACCACAGTTCGCGAACCCGCCCGTGAACCCAGAATGCAGAAAATCTTCGAAGAATGCGAAGTCGGTCGCGTGGGCGCCAGCAACCTCGTAGTCCGACGCCGTGCCCTCGATCGCGCCCTCCGCCATGGCGCTGGTCGTGAAGTAGCCAGACCAGGGATAGATGTCCACCCTGCCGTTGCGCACCTACACCTCCGTTCTGCAAGTTTGAGGCGTGTTCGCGTGCTTGGGAAGGGGAGGGGGGGGGCGCAAAACGCACGCGTCCGGGGGTGGCATAGGACTGGCCGATGATGCCGTGCGGCCGATCTCGGGACGGCGCGTCGCCACGCGCGGTGAAGCCAATATCGATCCGATGCTTTGGACCGGCGACCAGATCGTCTGCGTTTGGGACCGACCGCATGCCAGTCACCGTCATGGTCCAGTTGCCCAGCGCGAATGTGGCGGTGGAGTACGCCATGGCCATGTCGAGAGCAAAGCACCTCTTGCTGCCGCGGTAGCCAAACTTGAATCGCCTGCGGGGGAGTCGAGAGTAGCCGAGGTGAGCCGAGGCTAGAAGAGCAGAGATAGGTGCGGGCTCGCCTGCCGACGCAGGTGCCGTTGATGGTCTGCCAGCCAAAGTTGTTGTCGTCCAGCTCAGAGGCCCAGAATGAGGCGGTGGCTTGCTTTTGGGGCGACATGCGTGCAATCACGTGTGCCTCGGTGAGGAACGATCCGTTGACGATGAGGGCGCCATCGTGGATCTTAAAGACCGCATCCTCCGTTTTGATATTGACCGATAGGCCGGGCGCCGACAGGAAGCTGTATAGCGCATTGTGGCGGCCACGAAAATCGGCCGAGCCTCCAAACGCAAAACTGATATGCGGGTCACGGAAGATCCGGGAGCTAAGGGCGCACGCATCTTCCGAGGCCGGGAAGGCGGCGATCAACAGTAGCATGCGGGGGCTAGATACCGATGTCCAAGCCCCGAAGAGGCCCGCAATCGATTTGTGTTTCGCCGGAGTTTTCATGGTAGCACCGGAACTGGATCCGGATCTCCCACTAAGCTAAAAGGGCTCTCAACTTTGCTCAGGGCGCAGGGCAGGTTGATTGATGGCGGCGTCTGGTACCTTCCTTCCTTGACTCCAACCAACCAATGATCCTCCAGAGGAGAGAGCAGCGGCCATGTCAGAGGCCGCGCCTCCTCCTAAAGACTTCCCGCGGGGGGGAGCCTGGGGAAGCGCACCGACGGGAGACGTCGGGGCGGATTGCACAACTACCGGGCTTGACGCCCCGGCCGGACCGGGTCAGATCCTAAGGGGACACCCGAACACAATGACCTTCCAAGGTGGGATGCGCGACCATCAGGCCCGGTGTGTGAGTATTCTTGATACGAAACCACGACGACACACACCAGTCGACTCGCATCGGTTGCGGCCCCCATGAACGGCGGAGCTATTCTCGCGTCCACACCACACCTGGCAGCTCCAACGTGGACACGCCCCTAGCTGGGTCACAAGCGCTCGCGGCTGGAGCGATTGGGAGTGCCCTAGCAATCCTTGGATCTTGGGTACGATTGTGAGCGCCGCCGCTCATAGTCCTACAAGATGTAGGATTGCGAGCAGCTG